TGTAAGCAGTTATATGCAACCGTACGGCCTACAACAATGAAAAAAACCCATACCGTATAGTCGGTTATAAAAGGCCCCGACTTGAAAAATGTGAAACAATTCAATTATAAAAACTAACGGCCTAATTTATAACAAAACAATGAACGAAAAACAAACAGACATGAACCTATAACAACCACTGACCTACATGCTCCTGACTTGGAACAGGTACATAAAGAATGAGGCGAAGTTAAACATGTTTGAGGGCGCTTAACCCCCCCTCCCCTAGCAATGGACAGTGGTGTAACAGCACAACATAAGAAAAAAAACTATAAAAATCAGTTGAAAAATGCTCTTCAACTTCATACTTTATTTGGCTCTTTTAACTGTTTTGATTCGAGCATCACTGATAAGTCTTTTGAAGATAAAATTTTAATCCTGGTATCTATGGTGAGTTAATCTAAATAAGCCCAATTAAAAACAATAATCTCTAGATGATAATTTATCGAAAATAAAAATATGTGTGAAATGTCCCAAGGTCAAAATTCTGGAATTAGCATTGATTGATCCAGGTTTCATTCAATACTTAGAAGTGTAAATAATAGCATAAAGTAACTAGAGGCTCTAAAGTTCCTGTGTCGCTCACCTTGGTCCAATTGCACATCAAACAAAGGACACTCTCCATCATTTTAGACGAGAAAAGACTCCATGACAAAAATCTCTTTTTTGTTGATCTTGTATTACTGATCTTTTAGTCGGTTTAGTTTCTCTCTGTCTTCTTTAGCTTCAGCTCAAAACACAGAAGAGGGTTTAAAAATCCTCATTTAAGGGCAATCACTCCTATGAAGAGTGACAGTCTACAAACTATATCGGCAAAATTTGACTTTTTAATAGATCTTGCCTTGCTGATCATTTTTGTGATTTAAAGTGTCTATTTATCTATTATAATTTAAATCATATAAGGCATAACGGAAAAAAAATGTTTCTCTCTAAATATCATAGTTTTCATGATAATAGGCAAAAAAAAAAAAAAAAAAATGGTAAAATTTGTCATTTATGGGCAATAACTCCTATAAGAATTTGTTGTCTAACAGTTTTGACGTATATGGACAATTGGTAGAGCTTATTATTCTGAACATTTTTGCACCTTTCAGATTTTCTCTATTTATAACGGTTCAAAAAATATTAGACAAAACTTGCGTTTTACCCCTATGTTCTATTTTTAACCATGTCGGCCATGTTGGTTGATAGGCGGGGGTCATCGGACATATTTTTAAAACTAGATACCCTAATGATGATTGTGGCCAAGTTAAATTTGTCTCAGTAGTTCCAGAAATGAAGATTTTTTAAAAGATTACAAAAATTTACAAAAAATTGTTAAAAATTTCATATAACGGGCAATAACTCCTTAAGGGACTTAAATTGACTATTTTGGTCATGCTGACTTATTTGTAGATCTTACTTTGCTGAACATTATTGCTGTATACAGTTTATCTCTATCTATAATAATATTCAAGATAATAACCAAAAACTGCAAAATTTCCTTAAAATTACAAATTCAGGGGCAGCAACCCAACTACGAGTTGTCTGATTTGTCTGAAAATTTCAGGGAAGATAAATCTTAACCTGATGAACATTTTTACGTCGTCAGATTTGCTTTTTATGCTTTAGTTTCATAGATATAAGCATTATACCCCTATGTTCTAATTTTAGCCATGTCGGTCATGTTGGTTGGCAAGCGGGGTCATCGAACATATTTTTTAAACTACATACCCTAATTATGATTTAGTCAAGTTTGGTTGAATTTGGCCCAGCAGTTTCAGATGAGAAGATTTTTGTAAAAGTTAACGGACGACGACGACGACGGACGACGGACGCCAAGTGATGGGAAAAGCTTACTTGGCCCATTCGGTAAGGTGAGCTAAAAATTGAGATGTAAGTCCTAACCAAGTAGCCCTTGTTTTTATAACGTGAATTTAGGGACAGTTCACAGAATATACTGGAAAATATGAAATAAATTGAGAATTATATATCAAAACCGTGTGCTGGTTTGACATAAACTAGATTTTAGAACACTGATACATATCTAAATTTTTCAAAATGTGTTTTTTTGGTAATTTTAGCCACATTATCTACAGTTGGAAAAAATCAGCATTGCTTAGAGAAGACCTGACATATCTTTTGTCTGAATGATTTAAAATTTTAAACAATTAATGATACATAATTCAAATGCTTAGGATTAAGATGGGCGTTTCACATGTTAACACTAAAACCCTAACGGGAGGGATTGTGCTTGATTTTCATATGATGAAGACATAATCTTTCAACCAGTTTAATTGAGGTCTGGAGCTGGCATGTCAGTAACTGCAATAGTCCTTTCTTAATTTATGTATCATTGTAATTTTGCTTAGTTTCTATTGTTACCTATTCTGACATCGGAATCGGACTTCTTTTAAACTGAGTTTTACTGTGCGTATTGCTGTGTGTTTGTTTTTTTCTACATTGGCTAGAGGTATATGATGAGGGTTGAGATCTCACAAAACATGTTTAACACGGCCGCAGTTTGCGCCTGTCCCAAGTCAGGAGTCTCTGGCCTTTGTTAGTCGTGTATGATTTTTAATTTTAGTTCAATTATATGTTTTGGAGTTAAGTATGATGTCCATTTCACTGAACTAGTACACATTTTTGTTTAGGGGTCAGCTGGAGCCCGCCTCCGTGTGCGGGATTTTCTCGCTGTGTTGAAGACCCATTGGTGGCCTTCGGCTGTTTTCTGCTCTTTGGTCGGGTTGTTGTCTCTTTGATACATTCCTCATTTCCATTCTAAATTTTATTACTGATATCCCATTCACATATCCAATTGTATAATTTGAATCAGTGTTTCATACTGTAATGTTGTAATATTAGGAAAGTGTTACCTGCTAAGGAGGACGAAGTATTCTTAAGTATAGCTATATAAAACAGCATATTTTTCATTGAAAATTAAATTTCAAATTTTTTTTAATCTTATACTCAGGACACTTAATAATTTTCTTTTGTATGATGAAATTAAAAAAATCTGACAAAATTTTTCAGTTATATAAATATAAAATAGAAAAAACGTCTTTGATTTCATAAAAGAAAGGCGGAATATACCGAAGGGATAGTCAAACACACTAGTCGAAAACGAACTGACAGTTCAATGTCAAGAAGAAAAGGAAAACGACCAAAACAAAAAAAAGTCTTATAAACACAAATAGAAGACTAAAGACTGAGCAACTCGAACCCAACCAAAACGCGGGGGTTATCTCCGGAAGGATAAACAGATCCTGCTCCATATGTGACAACCAACGTGTTGCTCGTGTATTTATAAACTCGTTGATAAGTCTTATTCTTTTCCAATATCTGTACAAATGGGGAAGCGATAGGTAGAAATGTGTATGCTCCGTTGTTTTTGGGTTCGTGTTTTTTTTTTTATTATTATCATAAATTGATATATGAAGTAGTTTGGAAACTTTTAATTCTCGGATTTTTGTGTCTTGGTCATGATTTTATTATTTTTGTTTTTGTTTTTGTTTCTTATGAAATATGAAACTTATCATCAAAATGTTTTTGAATAAATAATGAAGTATTATAGAATTACAATATCAAAAAGAGTATCGCAGCACATAAAAATCAAAATCTTTCTCGTGTCCAAGGAAGTTTTTAGTTAATGCAGCAATGACAGTTTTAAATCGTTGATCACGTTGATAAATGCATTGAGACAAGTAAGTTTATTGATTTATTGCTGAATGACAGAAACAATAGATTTTCAAGATATACGCACTAATGTTCTGGTTAACTGACTTTATCGCTTTCTACAATATAGAATATAAAAATTGATGACCAAGGAAAGTTAGATCGAAATATCAAGCATTTTCTTGCTGTAAAGGTATCATACATCAGACAATTAAAAAATATCCAGAAAGGTTCAAATCCGTAACGATCAAACAGAGACCAACTAACGTAAAAGTAAGCAACTATAAGTCGACGTATGCCTTCAAAAATGAACAAAACTAAAAGACCCCGACATGACAAATGTTAAACAATTGAAACAAGAAAACTAACGGCTTGATTTATGTAAAAACAAAATAACGAAAAAGAAATATTAGATACAGCAAACAAATGACAACCGCTGAATTACAAACTCTTGACTCGGGACAGGTGAATACAAAATGTGGCTGGATAAAACTGTTTGCGGACGCTCAACCCTCCCTTAAACTGGAACATTGGTGTAACAGCACAACAATAGAACACGGTATACACATTAGTTTAAAAAGGTTTGACTCATCAGATCGTCACAAAGAACACACAAAAAAGCATCTAACAAAAAGACTTAAGACACACAGATCAACCAAAGAGTACTCGCAGAAACTGAAAGTTAATTCAAAGCCAATACCAACTAATTAAAAGTATTGTCCAGAAGACTAAATATCAATCAGTACAATGGATTAAGTGCAAAGACATCATAAACAGAGAAAAAAGATCTTGTCCAATGCCAAAATGTATGTATCGACAGTGTGTAGGACCGTATATGTTCAGAGATGTATAGCAATATTATTAAGTTATGTTTTGATTTATTTGACAACAAACTGGTATTTATACTGGTCTTTACTGAGTTTTGCTATAAACTGTGATGATAATAATTAAGGAACAAGTCTGCAATACAGGAGCGCAATCGGTGCCCATGGGAATACCTACAACCAATTGATAAACTTGATTGCCGAAGCGTACATTGATGTTGTCAAGGAGAAAATGTACAGCTGTAATCATCTCATCACACTTCCAGCAAGTATATTTGCATATTGACATTTTTCATTAAAGAAAAAGGCTTTTTATGCAGTTGCAGCAGAGATATTTGTACAATATCATTTTATCAAATAAGAAAACGTTTTTTGATAAGATAATCGGGAAGTGTGGTGTAGGGAGTCAAAAAGTCAAAACTATCGACCGAATTTAATAGAAGATCAAACCACGTAATTATCTAAAACGCCAAAAAGGATTTTTTACACTCCAAAAAAGTTAAATTCATTATTTTCATATGTCTTTTTACAAGAGTTAATAATAAGTTATTTGATGGTAGTTGAGGAACTAGTTACAAAGCACTGAAAGATTAGTTTCAGAACACTTACTAGAGGCCGCGATGGAACAATATTTAATGGGTTTTTTGAGTGTAGTTAAGGTAACCAGAACATAGAACGATATGTCCGTGTCTGTGTCTCACTAGTGACATGTTTTTGCAATTTTAGATCTTTAGGTTACAGAAGAGTGAGTGTAGTCTCGCATGTACCAGCGTATTAACGCAAAGCTCTCGATGCTAATGGAGTTTACGCATTCCCCTCATTTTTGTTTGTTATCTTGATTTGTCTTCTTAATCGATTAATGAGATTTGTGCATCAATAAACTACTGTTGCTTAAATCTACCAAATTGAATGATTGATGCCACCTTCAAGGAATGAAAAAATGAAAACAACATTTTAAAAATTTCATGTGTCCGAATCGCTTTTCTAGATTAACCTTCATCAGGAACGCCCAAAGCCGAATATTTGAAAGCCAAGGATGTATATGAACTGAAACAGTTGAAGAGTTATATAACCAAAAAAGAACCTAAAAAAAATAGCCAAATCCATCAAATTTGCCTGAGGGAGTTGAAACCTTAGTTTCTTTAATTTCAAAATTTATAAACGGACAATTTTAGAAAGGTTTGTTATAAATCATGTCAGTACCGAAGTCGTGACTACTGAGCTGAAGATACCCTAGGGGACTGATAGTCCACCAGCAGAGGTATCGACGAAAGATTGTATATAACAAAAATTACCATTGCATACATGTACCGTATAGGAAACAATAATAATTCAAAATCACATACTTAATGATACATTTAATCTTACTAATTTTAAGTTTCAATGTTTCCTAAATATCTAACTTCATTGTAACAAAACAAAAATAACCCTAATGAAGGCATTTGCACAAACTTGTATTTAATTAAATTGGACAAATAAGTTCCCATTCAGACGTTTATTATTTGGATTGCGTTTGATTCAGTATACCAGTTTCTCTAATTCTTTTACAATTTAACCCTTTCCGGACCCATTGTATAAAAAACTTTAATCAACGTGTGGTTTTTGATGATCTTGGAAAATGATTGGATGAGTTTAACCTTTATCAGCTCACTGGATGAAAGCACTCGAAGCGGATTTTAGTCTATCAAAAATACAAATTTATTTGATATTCATTAAGGAAACAGATTCTTACATAGTTACTTGTGGATTATCTGATTTACCCCATCTCAATTGGATAAATCCGATAATCCACTGGTACCAATGTAAGAATCTATATCTACGTATAGATTATGCGTTATAGAATACATGTTATTCATGGAATGAATAAGTTAATTTTTATTTTGTTTTTACATATTTGGTTCAACAAATAATTGCAGTCCAAAGGCTTTATGTACCTACAGATGTGGCATACAAAACTGGGAGTGTTTATGTTACTCTTTCTACATGGTAAGCTGTGTTTGATTATTGTTTTAGTTATTTTAATTTTTCACAAATCAGGGAAATACCTGAAAATAAAAAAATGCATTACTATACGATTCGATATTGAAGATTCCATTTATTTATGGAATAGATGGCAAAAGAAGAAAACTACATCTATTGTATTAAACTGTCTCAATATTTACTTTAGTTTTACAATGCTTTGCTTATATAACAAGCAGACTTCCATTAAATTGTTAATGTCCAAATGTGTTAACTTTAAATTGGTTCTTGAGAAGAAAATTGGATCTTTGTACCAATTGTTTGGTCCTGTAGAGCTATTATGAGCTCTTCATTAGGACCAACGTATCAACGTATCAGTTCTTAAGTGACTTCTAAATTACATTTCTGGATGGCTTGTCTTCCTTTCACTTCATCTTTACTTAAAAAAAACAGGTAATTTCCCATAAGTAATCTTTGAAACGAAGCATTTGCGATCATCCCTAGTGTTTTGGTGGGATTCGTGTTGCTCAGTTTTTAGTTTTATCTATGTAGTGATTTGAAAACTGTTTAGTCTTTTCGTCGTTTTCGTTTTGTTTTTGCAATGACGTTATCAGGTTGTTATCATCTTCAATGTATGAGTTCAAATATCCCTTTAGTATCTTCCGCCTCTGTTTGACCTCAACTTGCAACAATTTTGAATTGTTAAATCCCCATTAAATGACAACTTTGGATCTGCATTTGGAACATATCTTAACATTTTGGCTTCAATAGGTTCTGTGGTTCTAAACAAATATAAACATATCATCAGAGCCGAAGTAATAACACTAGTTCAGTACCTTCCAAGGAACATTTTTTGGTGATTTGTTTTCATTTCACTGCACCTGTATTTGGAAAGAAATACAATATATAACTTTCCATAAGTTCCCAATCTAAACTTTGACCTCCACTTATGACCGTTTTAGGAGAAATGAAAAGAAGATAGCATTATCCTTTAATTACACGTTTCGCTATATAGATGATGTCCTCTCACTCACTTATCAATTCAAAGTTTGGTGACTATGCTGAACGCATTTATCCCATTGAACTTGAAATAAATGATACAACAGATGCAATCAAGTCTGTCTCATATCTTGACCTACATCTAAAAATTAACAACGAGGGTCGGTTGAGAACAGAACTTTACGACAAAAGAATTGATTTCAGCTTCCCAATTGTGAACTTTCCTTTCCTATGTAGCAACATTCTAGCAGCACCTGCATATGGATATAAAAATAAGAAGATGTGGTATGATTGCCAATGAGGCAACTCTTCACAATAGACCAAATGACACAGACATTAACAACTATAGGTCACCGTACGACCTTCAACAATGAGTAAAACTTATACCGCATAGTCAGCTATAAAAGGCCCCGAAATGACAAATGTAAAATAATTCAAACGAGAAAACTATATATCGCCCAGTTATACGATATTCCAGAGCTATCATTTCCTATCATGATTTCCTTAGTAGAATCAGACGATTTCATTTTAGTTGTATACACTGGTATGTGTCTTCTTTTATTTTTTTACAGATGTGAACGGTATGTTTACAATACAGTCAACATCGTATACACATAGTCAGGCAAGAACGGGCTGCTGGAAAATCAATGCTACTTTACTAACTGTAACAAACTTTTCGTTTACCTACCTCGAAAGGTTGATTTTTGACACAGCTCCAGAGGATTTCGAGTAATAAATTTTTTAGTTCTTAGTTTTTGTAGTAGTGTGTTAAATGTTTGTGAATGATTGATTTTAAAAGAATAACATACTGTTGTATTTGTCTCTGAAAAAAATTGAAAACAACACGTTTTATAATTTCATGCGTCCGAAGCGTTTTTCTGGATTTACCTTCATCAGGAACGCTAAAAGCCAAACATTTGAAATCCGAGGGATGTATAAGTAAGAGCTATATGACAAAAATACCTAAAACAAATAGCCAAATCCATCTAAGGTCAACTTTGCCTGAGGGAGTTGAAACCTTAGTTTCTTTATAATTCAAAATTTATAAACGGGCAATTTTAGAAAAGTTAATAATAAATCATGTCAGTACCGAAGCACTGAAATGTGATTAAGGCTGACATTGCTACTATTAAAATATTTCAATATGCAATAAATGTCACTTATAAAGGATTTTAAGTAATCTTTCTTCTCTATCTACTGGTATTTATATGCCATTTGAAGATGTTTTAATCTTTTATATCGAATGAAAATCAATCACTATTACTAAGCCAGTGTCACTAACGATATATGCTAAATAACACTGTTAATTATGTTTACCTAATTGTTCCCTAAACGTATAAATCCTTTTTTATTTGTTTCATCACAAATCGTTAAGTCTGATAAACGGCCAATCCAAATAATTAAAGTAAAAAGAAAAAGAGGGTCATTTAATTTTACCATTGGGCGAACACTCATTGTATCGTAAAAGAGAGGCGAAGGATACCAAAGGGACATTCAAACTCACAAGTCGACAATAAACTGACAACGCCATGGCTAACAAGTAAAACTGTGAGCTACTGCTCACTGATGATACCCCCGCCGAAATATTTCGGTAAACAGGAAGTTGTTGAGTGATGCATCTGAAAACGCATCACACGGTATAGCTGACTTATATAAACCCTGAAACCAAATTTCAGAAATCCTATTCAAGTAGTTCCTGAGAAAAATGTAACGAAAATTTACAACTTGGCTATCATGTGTAAAATAATACAAGTGTTCGGTAAACAAGAAGTTGTTGAGTGATGAATCTGAAAACGCATCACACGGTGTAACTCACTTATATAAACCCTGAAACCAAATTTCAGAAATCCTTGTCAAGTAGTTCCTGAGAAAGATGCGACGAAAATTTTCATGGGACGGACGGACTGACGGATGGACTGACGGATGGATGGATGGATGGATGGACTGACGGAAAGACAGACAGAGGTAAAACAGTATACCCCCACTTTTTTTAAAGCGGGGGTATAAAAAGAAAAAGACAAACAAACAACAGTACACAAAACACAACATAGAAAACCAAAGCTTTTTTTAGATTTACCATTTGTCAATTACGTTCTTGTCTACCTGTTATTGAGGCTAAATACATAAATCTTTTAATGATTCCAAAATAAACATAACGGAATAGCTTATAAAACAGTATTCAAGGTTAACTTTAATGTGTGAATCTTAGTGTTAGGAGAACTCTAGAATTTTTTCAACTGATTTCTATCTTCAGTTTTCTAAAATAATTATTGCAACGAGGTAAATTCAAAATATCACGAGGAACATAACATTTGGAAAGAACATTCAACCAGTATTGCATCAACCGGTTAGTAATAATTTCATAAAGTTCCTTCAAAGGCATAATAGAAATTTCCTTTAGGGTTATTAAGCTTTTAAGATGATTATTTCTTTTTTATGTTTTTTTGGTCTTCGTTGTACGATTTCGTTTAAGTTAACGCATTAAAAGGCACAGTTATATCTAAACAACTTATTTTTTTCCTAGTGGTTGGCACTTTTGGACTGACAACAGAGCCAATCAACTAACTTATAAAGAAGGACAAACCTATGCTGATTTCCCATTAGATGAGGAGGAAGATTATGGTGATACCAGATTAACATATTGCGTGTATGGAACATATAACTATATTGAAAACAGATTTGAATGGGTTCCAGTTAATTGCAAAAATATGAGCTATCAGTGGAACAGTATATGTTTTTTGTGTGTTCCTTTTTACACAGGTATTTAAAATCTACTTTAAATTGGTAGAATTGTTGGTAAGAGTGTCCTTTATTTTATAGCAGTGATAATAATTATGTGATTCTAGAATAATTTGCATTTCAGGGTGTTCCTGATTGTTCTTGACATGCTTGATTTCCCACCAATAATGACGTTTCAAACAAACCAATCTACATATTTTCACTAATTTATACATTCTATATTAAACAAATATTACAGTTTAAAGTTACGTCTGCTCAATATAAAAAAAAAAAACCATTCATTGTCAGCATTTGAAAAAACATTCGAGTTCGAGTTGATTAATTGATTAAAAAAGATATGGACCCTTTTCTCCTTTTGAGGTTAATTGTGAACTACACTGTAGAACTAAAACATATCTTAATTCAATCATTTTAGTAATAGGTTTACAAATAATTCAGATTTATGCGATCATGATACATTGGTTTATATATATATATTGTTTTCATTTTAGACTTATATATATATATATATATATTGTTTTCATTTTAGACTTATATATATATATATATATATATATACTTATTTATTTTGTTTATGTGCAAGTGAATACAGATGCTGTTATGTATACAAAAGAAGTCACATGGCGAACAGCACGTAGAATGTGTCAGACTGCAGGAGGAACTTTGTCTGATTTTAATACAATTTTCTTTACGACATATTTTGAGAGCACATGGGCAGGGTAAGTTTATATATATGCACAAACACATATGCAGTTTAACTTTTACTTTCCATACATTTGCAGTGTAATTGTTTTACCTGCTTTATATTGAATTGTTCTAACTTACAGGGACAAAAGTGAATTTCTGATAATTTAGATCTCTTTGGTCTGTGTTATTTCATAATTGTATTATCTCTCTGTTCCCATGTTTTGTTCATGCTTTATGTTTACAACAGTAAATCGATTATGATCGTAAATGAGGATACTGATATGAACCGATTTTAAATGAATACTAGTATTGAATTTAAATTGGTAAGTTAAGTTTTGTCTTTCAGCAAATTGTCTGACATATATATTACGGTAAAATCAGTACTGGCATACACCTCGCTTCAAATGAACTACTAGTATATTACAGTCTGTTAAGTTAATTTTAGATTGTTTAGTAACTGTATGTATTTCTCATATGTACAAAGCAATAAATACGCAAAGGTCTGAAATTTGATTACCAAGTAATACATTGACTATAAGCGATATTTGAGACCACTACCGGATTTATCGCCAGGAAAACGCATTTCACAATTCCCTTTTACATCCAACATCATACGCCATACCCGATTGCATCGTATACCATTTCCCTTTTTTCATCTAATTTTACACGATATTGCACCATTGAAACATTTACTCATAATGAAATTTAGTTTCAAAGAAAGCTTGTGATTTCAAATTTCAATATACAAAAAGAAATTAATAACGAGTGTGTAAACCCTAAACACCATTCCCCAATGCACCATGTACGTTTTATTTGTGAGGTAATACCATGTAAAGGTTTTCTTTATCTTTCTTATCGTCGAATACACCATTGTACCAAAAATCATTCCCCATTAGACCATAGACGTTTTGTTTGGGAGTTTACATCAGTCGGGTTTGTATCCGTTGACCTTCCTCTGGTCTTTCCAAATAAAGGCACTCGTAGTTTCAAATTAGAAAAGTGCAAGTTGATCAATCAGATTGAAGAATAAGTCATGTTTAGTAACACATTCAGAATTAGATTGATTAGACAGTTTGGATAGTACTGAATCCTTTTACACATTTAAAATTCTATATCATTAGTATAACAAAGTTCTGGACAGATTATCATTCAGAAAAGTATGTAAGGGAATTACAATCCAAGCCATTTCCCACCGACATCAAAAGAGAAAATACGTTCTGTGTGTATGCTGTGTATGCAGATCGTAAATTACAGTGGTCTACAGAATCATGTGACGCCAGACATAGTTTTCCTTGCTTCTACAAGAGTAAGTCTTATAACAATATTAGTAAAGATACTTGTTCTCCATAACTGTGCGATTGCATTAAACGTGTATATACGAACAAAATGAGGCACATATAAAATGAACCAAGTTGGTTTTATTTCAGAGAAACTCTTGAATTCATTCTCGGAGTTCTTTTGTTCCTTTGATCTTTCTTTTCATCTTTCTAGATTGTTTTTGTTAAGTATATACTACCAAGGTTTTTATATTTCGGTTCAAACGTCGTAAATGAGACACACAGTGAAGGTTAGCTTACACAAAAGCGAGAAATTAGCGTACGTGGTGACGATTTCATAGAAAACTACGCAGGTCATAAACGTTTAAATGGAAATTTGCTTAAGGTAGATGGGGTGTCTAAATTATAATCCATAGAATTTTTCAATAATTTGCCAAAATGTAGTTTATATCATGCTTTTTAAAAAAAAATTAAAAAAAGAATGGGTCACGGGGCTTATTTTCACGCTACAGGTTGTGCAAAATTGACAGATTTTGTATAGATTATGCATGGAAAACCCAATTTTCTGCCATAAAACGAAAACTACACCATAGAATTTTGAGATAATATAAGAGAAGATAGCTCTAATAGTATGCTTTCAGATAAGAAAAAGAAAAAATGGGGTCATGTGACCCGTTTTCTTGCTACATAATAAAATAGGTAAATTCCTAACACATTCTATTGTAAAAGTAACTTTATCTGAATTATCTGCCCTTACATTTGAGTTGCCTCCCCTTATGTGGCAAAGTTGAAAAAAAATAGAATCAAACAAAAGTATTCTTTTTTTTTGTAAAATACAACCATAAATATGATAAAATATGTCATTTCCTATTTTGAAATGAAAATTCTTACACATGAATTACCTACTACTCTGAAAGTTTGCACCTTTTATTAAAGATCTAGACCGATTGTTTTCTGGTATTTCAAAATCCAAGATGGAGGAAGACACCCTATCTACCTTAAAAGTGATAATATGAACTTCATGCATAGAAAATTATTACCTGAGAGAATTCGGAAGGAAATATAAAATTTCACAAAACCAACATTCTTATAGAGCACACACTTAGATTTTCATCATATAACGAAAAATCCTGTCTGATTAAACATAGTTTTTACACAACCTTGCTATTTATGAAATCAAATTAGCAATCGTGGTATACAAACACCTGTCCTAAGTCAGGAATCTGATGATCAGTAGTTGTCGTTTGTTGTTGTGGTTCATGAGTGTTTCTCGTTTCCCGTTTTTAATATAGATTAGACCTTTGGTTTTCCCGTTTGAATGGTTTTACACTAGTAATTTTTGGGGCCCTTTATAGCTTACTGTTCGGTGTGAGCCAAGGCTCCGTGTTGAAGACCGTACTTTGACCTATAATGGTTTACTTTTATAAATTTTGACTTGGATGGAGAGTTGTCTCATTGGCACTCATACCACATCTTCTGATATCTATAGACTGTATAAATCATTGCTAACAACACAAAGCAACTTATGTAAGCGGAATTTCATTTTAATCGGTCTAAAATTCTCAATTTTTATGTAATAAATTTTCAACCTATTAACTACTATGGTATACAGAAGTTGGATATGTACGTGCACGAAACTACGACAATAGGTCACATATCTACTACTACTGTCGAGTTTTTTTTTTAGATTACTAGATTATGACTTAATAATAAATATTAGTACATGTACTTTATATATTCAGGTGAGTAATGTGGTGTCGACGTCAGATGGCTACATAACAACCCAATCAATAAAGAAAAGACAAAAAGAGGCAACAAATAAAAATATAAAAGTGTCAATTCGATATTTCTGGCTGTAAAATATCCCGGGTCATGAATATATTTTAAAAGAGACTTCATATTTTCTGAAGTGAACATCAAATTCTCTTAGGAAAATATAACGTAGTAAATTAGAAAACAAAGAAAAAACACTGGCTTGGTTTAAAACTTGGGTTGGGTACCTTTATAAATACTCACTCCTGTCCCTCCTTAACATATGAATAAATGGAACTAGAATTTCTGGCTATATAAGTATATATGTCACAGCTCTGCAAAAGCCATTTAAAACTGATATTTGTTGAAAAACGTCTTCGGTGCTTCAGTATTAAAATGTTTTTTTGTTGTTGTTATTATCAATTTTTATTTCATGAAATAGCTTTATATTTTTCAATATTTATTGATTCTTGAAATAGTTAGCTTTTATCCTTAATTATAGGAAATGTCACATTTGAAATGCACAGAAATCAAGTAATTCTACATGCATCAGTCCTGAAATATGTTGAACAAGCAAATGTGGTTTCTGATTGCACAAATGAACTGTACAAATTCGGGAAAAGAGGATATTTTGTTGGAGGCTATGAATACAACTTGGAAAATGCCAGCTGCCGCATAATAGAGTACATTAGCTTGACTCATGATGACATTAACAGATTTCTACCCTCTAACTCAATAGATACGTATTTGTATACTTCATCTATAGGTAAGTATTTTACTAAGGAAAACAACTAAGTTAACGTAAATAATGGGATACCTGAACTTACTAGATGTATGGACACCATCGCGGCTGCGTCCGCTTCGACGTGGGGTGTTTTGTATGGTAGTTATAGAGTCAGCAGAGGACATTTAAATTGGCCCTGATCATAATACACCAACTCACGCAGAAGATGGTATTTAGCAATTTCTTTGATCGTCAATCCTTGACAATCAAATTTTAATTTTTTCTTGATCTTGAAAGCTATACCCCTCTCACACATGTGATCGTATCCTACTTTCACGTTGTCTTTCATTACGTTCTTCCCTCTGTCCTTTCCTCCGTTCATCAGTCCGTAATTTTAAAATATGATGAGAATTTTAAAACTCTGTTCCCTCCTCAGCGTACACACAACCATGTCATTGTCATTATTAACCATCTACTCATGTTGTTAATATAAATGACCTTCCATCCCTACATAAAGCCATTCGGTGTACATTACAACTACACGAAACTATAGTCATTACCCCTTTCGAAACAATTGTATAATTATTGTTGGGAACCCCTTCTACAAATCCCAATTCTTATCAATTCAAACTCAAAGATATCATTACGGATATAGTCTATCACAGAATTTAGAGACCATTTGTTATTAGAAAAGACAAATCGGAGACAATACCGTTTATCATAAATCAGTCAAGTTTAAAATACACTCCACTTAAAAAAACACTATCTCTTATCCGTATACCACAACAACTGCGACATTTATAAGAAAACCCACCACGTTATGCAAAATCTCAATATTGACAACTTTAAAAGTCTCAACCTCCTGGTTGCACCTGTGCAAGTTTCATATACATGTTTAATCAGTCTGGCCAGGTTATAACTGCCGACGTTAGCAATGTCTTCATAAGATGCGTTACAGCAAAGGGTAAATAAATGTAAATCAATAAACTGGAAACTAAACTTTAAAATTCTAATGGTTTCGATCGAGGAATTTATTCCAATTTATTGATTCAAAGAATTAGTCATTTATTGGAAGTAATGCTCAACAAATAATTGACATTCATCTCACCGAATAATTCAACTTTTATAAAGAATACTCCAGAGGTACAATCTACAACTTTTCAGCTGATAATCTTAAGTCCCCTTCACTCTTCAGTATAAGTTTTGCAGCCTTTACGTATTAAAAGGATACATGGACATCATTATTTTGTGTACTGTTATTACAACTAAATTGGAGGAATCTGATGATTCTGATGAAGGATCTCAATCGTATTTAAATTGGAAAATTTATTGCAAAACCAATCACCTAAAATGTGAACCCTTGATTGACATTGACATATCATCTTTTTTTTTTCAATGCATAAAATGGTTAGCAACCAAAATGACCAAACAACCCCCAACACACAAACACACATATACATAATAAATAAAAAGGAAAACTGGAAATTATTGCGATGCTTTTATTATTGCGAAAAATGCGACAGGGTTGTAATTGCAATAATTTAAACTTGCATTTTGAATTTTTTTTATATGAATGAAGCGGAATTTTTCTCAGTATCGCAAAAATATTAATCGCATTTTGGTCTAAAATGACAAAATCGCAATAATAAATGCACGCAATAATTTCTGAATTTACAGCAATTCCTCCTAAAAAAATGTGAAAATTGCCTTTACCCACATGATACATATGCTTTTCAGTATCATTGGAAGATAATATACCACTCCATGGCGACACAGATTTCATTACAGGAAATCACGGTATATATATAGCTTTTTCACTTATTATTTTTTGAATGTTATTTAACAATATGAAGACACTTTTCCGTGTAATTCATTTTCAATCACGGAAGGTTATGTTGTTTGACTTGCGGTATTATCAGATATTGTTTTTAAGTGAATGTTCTTTAACAATATGAAGACACTTTTCCGTGTAATTTATTTTCAGTCACGGAAGGTTATGTTGTTTGACTAGCTGTATTATCAGATATTGTTTTTAAGTGAAATGTGTGGATAAGGCTGTGTTTCTGTGTAAAAACCGACGACGCATGACAAGGGATGGTAATGCAGTACATGGGAAAGTTAATATCAAAACTTGCTTAAAAACATGTAAATCGCGTACGAACCTTTGTTTTTGGAATACTCATCAGGTACGCATGATATCAGAGTAAATTGATGATGAATAAATATAAGAAAATAAGAAGAAATACAACGGACCAAAGAAACACACAAGCAACCAGGAGTGATCTCCTTGAGCGTTTGAATTGTCAGTTTTTATGGACTTAACCTTTTTGAATTTGTCTTGGATTTCAGTAATTTGTTATACTTTTTTTCAAAAATGGTGTATGCCTTACATTTTCATTTTTTTAGTGTCAGTAGAAAATAATATATCGCATAGTGGCATAGAATTCGTCATTGGAAATCAAGGTATAGTTTTTTGCACATCTCAATGATTATTACTTAAGGTATCATTAAAAAAGTATCTTTTAGGTAAAAGCAACTTTTATTGAAAAATATGTCAGATCATTAATAATTCAAGGCAACATTCGTGCAATCAAGACAATTGAATCTTTCTGAAGTATTATTTAACAGCAAAGGAATGTAGGCATCAGCCCAAAAAAGACGGACCATATAAATCTTTAATTAGTTTAATCCAAGCAAAGTGTCTATACTATCAAATAATATCATGAAGATTAAAATGAAATAACACTTTTTTGGAATATTGTGTGTCCAAAGCGCTTTTTTAGTTTCACCTTCTTCATGCACGCTCAAACCACAAGATTTGAAGGTCAAGGATGGATAAATACTTGAATACTTGAAAGCTACAAGATCAAAATGGAACTTACAAGAAAAGCCAAATCCATTTCATATTATTAAAAAAATGCATTTCATAAATTTTACGTTGATACATTTAGAAATTAGTAAGAAACTTAAGTTCCGACTTCTTCTAGAAAAGTTGTCCTTTGGTGACTTTGGTTATTTTATTTACATAATGTAGTTCCTTTTTAGTCATAAAACTCCTCAAGAATTACAATATGCCCGCCTTTCAAATCTTTTTAGCGTTCCTCATGAAGGCAATTCAACAAAAGCTCTTCGAATGCATCAGATTCATTAAGAGTTCTTTTCCACGTATCGTTAATGACATGTCTTATGTTGTATATCTTTCGACAGTTATGTTTTATTTATTGGAATGGTGGTGCTCCATGTAATGTTTTAATCAGATTTGGTGATGTTTGTAATTTCAACGGAATAAGAATACTCCTCTGAGGATAACAATTCTGAATTTGAATTTCATCAATAACATACGTACATGAAAGTGAAAATTTTCATAAGGGAGAAGTATCGCCAGCCCACTAGCCAGATCTTTGCTCCTGGCACGAAAAATACGGATATTGTGTTATTGAAGTTTGCTGTTACAAAATTTTGGAAATTATTATAAATTAAGGAATATATCTCCCTCATGCAAAGATCTGATTCCCTGGCCGGATTGGGCTATACTTTTTGGCCTTTTTGGTTTGATTAGCGCTTCATTTTTTGGATAAATTATGGATTTTCTAATGTTTTGATCTAGAGCATCACTGAAGAGACATTAAATGTCGAAAAGCGCTTCTGGTGCCGTGAAATTGGTACCGGTAATGTTATTGTTTTAAAGCGACTTTATTTTAGGCCCCGTGAATATAATAAAAAAGTATTATTAGTTTTATTAAGAACATCATTGAAATGATAGACTGTATAATAAATCATGAAATGTTATGTTTTAGTTTATGCAAGATATGTATATTGAACGAAAAGACATCTTTTTTTTTAAACTTTCTTATACTGTTTTAGATATGCAGTTTGAACCAACAGCTGAAGGTGAGTACTGCTCTGTTATAGATTTTAGAAAACATTGTTGTATCGAGTGAAGCTAGCAATTTACATAACAGTAAATGGAATTTGCGATTCAGAACTTTATGTTGCCAAACGCGGGTCTGAAGTACTACATTTTAAGCCTGGTATCTTTGATGTCTATATAAAATCTTTAAATGCAGTAAGCGATTTGCTTTGGTTGATAAGAAGTTCATTTTCAACAATGTTTCTCATTTTATCATTTAGCTTAACGTTTCTCTTTATATAATTATACATTCCTCATTTCCGTTTTAAAAACAGTTTATGAATAATGAAGTTGCTTTTTCTGCTTTTATTATTAAGGAGTTTGTCTGACAACTGTTTTTGTCATATTTGGAGTGGTATCCAGTGGAATAATTTTTGCTTCTTTCCTTAAAGACATTATACACAGATCATATACGGAAAGATGCTTTACCAAAGTGAGTGTGTATTTAAGCGATAACATTCAAGTAAACTGATAATACTATTTAGTTAACTTACCAGAGTTAATATGAGTAGTGTATTTTAAGGTAATCATGAGATTTTATTTATGATATAAATTTATAAAGCGGCTTGATACGTAAGCTTAAACTAGGGAAATGTTATATTTGGGACTTTGTGACAGTGGCTTTTCATTGTGAAAGGTTTGAAATACGGTTTATCGATTCTGTATTCTATTGTCTTTCTACTGCCCTGTCAATTTTCAGTTTTTAGAAAGTGGAAGACTATTTCAAGTGATATTCATGATAAAGTTATATTAGGGGTTCAAAGAGTAAAGTACTGACAAGTTTTTGTAGAAGTATAGCATAACACACTTATATTTTCCTTTTTGGTCCTGATGATATAACGTATTGTTAAAAATACAAATTGATTTATGGAGTTTAATATGGTATTCATATCGACTTTTGAAATGAAAAACATTATCTTTCACAAGTTAATATTAGCCCACATATCTTTTGTGATTGACATACAGTTATTAAAATATACTAAAAGAAGTATTTATATTTACTATTTACTAACTAAAAATGACATTGTTTAAGTTTTTTTGTGTAACTGCGAAATTAATACACAGTGGAAACATATTGTTGAAAAGTTCGAGCATTAAGTTGGACTCTTAATACATCTCACATATTTTTTCGTTATAAGGTCGGAAACATTTGAATTCAGAACATACACCATTTGCTTTTTGTCATCCCCTGTACATACATAAATGAACTCCTGTCTTACTGTGCGTCTAGTAAGACTTCATCTAGTATATGGTCTGCCTGCACATGATTTGTAAAAATAATATTTAGGTATATTTGGGACCAAATTGCAACCTTGATACAGACTGGTGCTTCAAAGCATAAAAAGCATAGACAGAACGAACAGTCGATCAATCATAGGACGTATTGGAGTTGTTATCTTATGATGAACAAAAGAGATTCGAACAACGAAACGATTGTAAACAGCAAATTTAGTACATAGAACCATCTCCACTTACTGAATATTGTATTGAGTTCTTCCTAAAATATAAAATCATTAACTTTATGTACATATATATCTTTTAGAAGCAAACAGAAGAGGAATTACAAGAGCTGGATAAATGCGATATCCTATTTGAAACACCAGATTTGAATGAAATAGGAATTGTCGAACATTCTAGAAACATTCCTCCAACATCGGTCAGTTTCCTTTGAGGAAAGTTTTAAGACAATAATTTCTTGCAGCTTTAAGTGAACACAACTTTATTATAACTTAATTTTTTTCTGCAATTTACTCTCAAGTTCTTAATGAAGGATTATAAGATCGCTATTAGCATTTTGTTTTACAAAGCATGTTTGATGGAAAAGAAAAGATGTGGTGAATCTATTCATTTCACAAAATTAAAAAGGATCTTAAATTATTGCGATAGTAGTTTACTGATGCTAAAATCTCGTAAATTGTGAAAAAAGAGACAAATAAAGGCAACAAGCTAAATCTAAGGGAATTGTAAAAACATCAAAAGCTACAAAAAACGGGCACGTCGACGGGGTAAGCGTCTCGTGGTATGTATTTTTAATCGATTTGTATTCTCAAGGGCACAAATTTTTCATAACTCTTTGAGGATTAAGGTGTTTACTTGTATGAAGCAGAATGTAACATAGGAAATTTAAAAATAAAATAACCCAGTCCTTTAATTTTTAAATACAGTCTTTTAATTTAATAATCCGCTCAATAAATGATGTGTTTCTCATAAATTATATTAAATAGAGGGCCAACTTCTTCTGAATTTAGTCAACACTAGGAAAGGGTAGCAAAGAAGAAAACTTTAAGAAGTCTCTTCATTTTCTAGATGCATCAATTGTGTATATAGGCCTTTCATCACTTGGAAAATCAAACGAGTCTAACGATGCCGAATATGCTTACCGGAGCACCTGATATCACCCCCTGATTTAATTGGAGTTCGTATTGTCCATTTTAATATTTTGATATTTTAATTTATTTTTGATTTACAAGGTAATTTTACAAACATATTTTAAACGGGAAAAGAAAATAATCTTTTCCATAAAAGTTAAAGGCAAGAATTCATATACCACATAAAATAATGCATTGCATTATATCAGCTTAAGTCGGCCATCAATTAAATCGTTTTACTAACCATATTTGGAAGATTGTAAAAATTCAGGCAACAGTAGTTTATCTGTTTTGAAATCTCATAAATCGAGTTAGAAATCAAACACTGAGATACGTTTTAACCCAAGATAATCATTAACCAATGATTTAATTCACTAAAAATGTATGGTCAAAATTGATTTAAATTAGTATCATTAAATGGGCATTAACTACAAGATATAGAAAAAATTAAATACGATTTGTTTTTGTTCAATCATTAATGAAAGTAAAATAGTGAAATAATAATTGTTCTTAGCAGCCAATTTGGTTCAATTTTGTCAAAATAAGCTAAGAAACATCGCTAATGAATTATTCACTTGCAAGTAAATAAATCGACCTCATTGAATCTGTATTCATATGACCTTTAATTTAACCACTTACCTGGAGATGGGTTACGCATGTACAGTCCTTGGATGGTGTAAACTTCCCACTTACACCATACACCATTACACCATTACACCATTCACCATACACCATTACACCATACACCCTGTGCCATTACACCATACACGTTACACCTTTGCACCATACACCTTAAACATTACACCATTATGCAATTTAATTTCAAAGAAAGCGTGGGACTACAAAATTATTTATTTATTTTAAAAAACGAATTTTGATCACAATATTGTAAATTAATGTATAAAATTAAAAATCAGTTCTTATCAATATTTTGCATAGTTTTAAATGTCGTACACCATTTATTCACACCATTCCCGATCGCACGTTACACCATTACACCATTCCCCTTACACCATACACCATAGCACCATACACCTTCTACCATTGCACCATATGCCGTACACCATTACACCATACACGTTTTTTTGGGAAGTTTAGACCGTCTAAGGGCTGTATTCAGCTATTAAAAGGAAAAGTATGTCAACAATGGAAGTGAAAAAAGAACGAACCTTTTGGTTGAAAGAATCGATCCATAAAAAATCATTCTTATACAGGTAAAAACGACGATAAACATACTTTTTAGCCTATAATATGAAATCAAACAAACCTAGTAAAATCGAATTCCAATCGCTATCTATTTATATTTATATTTATATCTATATTGGGTTATATGACCGTTTGCAGTCTTCGGAGGTCATTCCGATGGTTAGTTAGATGACGTCTAGACAAAAATACACACGAAATGTTGATACATATTATCCTGTCTATGCATTGTTAATTGTTTATTTAAGACATTTTGTAATTTGAATATACGTTTTAGTATGATATAAATCAAATATGAGAATTCAAGAATGACGGCTAATGGACCTTTAATACATGTTTATACGGAAGTTATACAGAAAACAACAATGTTTGATTTGACTTCACGGTACTAAAGCTAATATCATTTGTTTGCATTATTTGTTGTATGCAGCATTGCACAACTGAAGTGCTACCTCAGTCGACTTTTGAATCATCGCACTTAGTACATTTGGTCGAAGTAATTTTGTCAAACATAGGCATGATTTGTTTCGAAATTTTTATGATTTGACAAATTAAAGCATCCAACCAATCCTTTTGATAAATACAAATGTATGGTATTCTTTGCTCGCAATGAAGTATAACGAAGATCGGTGATGCAGTTGTCCTCTAAAGACTTTTACGAGATAGATAGAAAGGTTATCCAAATATGTACAGAGAGATACAGACTGTGATGAAACATATACAAGGCTTTCTGTTTCGGAAATAGTTATATAGTAAGATGTGCAATGTTTAAAAATTCAAATCACGTATGAAGCTAATAATAGAATGACCATAAATGTTCAGATCTTATTCTACTTAAGGAGTCTTAAAATGACCAACAAATGTGAGAAATAATGGTAGTTCTAAAAAATATGCAAATAAAGGTTCGTGAGCGCGTAACTAATTGACTTCAAATAGTGACAACTAATACAAGTTGTACATCTAGGTTTTGACAATGTTTACATTTTGGTAATGAAAAGTAAGAAGATACAAAAGGGACAATCTAACCCATAAGTCGAAAACAATCGGACGACCACAAGGCAAAACAAAAAGACGAAACGACAAACAACAGACTGCAAATTACTTTACAAAAACATAGAGCTCAAGAATACGGACTACACTGAGGCGACAGGAAGGTCCACCAGTTCATGCTTCAAACCAGATACCGTTTTATTTCTGCCTAAAAAGGAAATAAAAATAATGAGCCTTTAAAAAAAAAGGCATTATATAATAGCGGATTTTAAATGGTTACATCTCATGTACTGGAAGACAATACAAGGTTCATAAACCACCATTATATATAAATCATTCAACCCTTATCTATTAAAGTGGAAAAAAAAGATGGAAAAGACCGCTATATATGATATTTAGAAAAATAAATAGGAAACCGAGATGGATAGGGATTTAGACCACGGAGATTTTCAATTTATCTTATATGACATAAAAGACAAAGTGGGGATGAATTAGAGACAAAGTAGTATACCGATGTTTAAATCTCACAAACCCAGTAAGAAGATAGAAATCAAGGTACCAGTAGCATTCCGTTTGTGGTCAACTTTATTTTTGTTCATATTTAAACTACATGGAAGTGTCAGAAATAATGTACAGGAGTTCATTTAAAGATTATTTTCATTCATAACAAAAATGCTTTGATCTAGGTGCCTACCCTCTTTGTTGTTTGGTGACAAAGCGTCATGATAACATATTAAAATCACAGTAGAAATTCGACTACAAAACATTAACCATTTTGAGTAAATCGGGTTTCGTTTACATCTATTGAGGCTTGGTGCCATAACAGCCCTGGTATACCATATGGAAATTCGTTCTCTGAAACAACAAGACTCTTTTAAACCTAACTTGTAATGCATAGAATACTTAAGATACCGGAATATCAAAGATATGTTATCAACACACTATTCCTCCAAAATGACAAAATTTTTAAAGTCTACACTGACAAGGTTCCTGATGTACAAAAATATGTGGTGAAGTTTAACTTTATGCGAACTGTGGAATATCAAATGTCCGAAAAAGAAATACACAATAGTAGTGCATTGACTTCACATATTAACGATATAAGGATGAGGCTTAGAAACGGGGAAATGCGAGGCTCTGCCGAGCTTTTTCCCCGTTTCGGGCTGAAATGTCAAGTCAATGCACTATTATTGTCTTTATTCTGCAATCTAGAAAAAAATATTTTCAATTGTTGTTTCATGTGTTAATGTTAGTTATTTGATTTAATTATTGGGGAAAATCCCCCTTTAAAAAGGCATTATATCAGGCGGAGAAATATACAACACAATGAAATGTACATTACCTGTCATGTGTCGAAACCCGCAATCGATGGTGAACAATTTCGTTTGAGTATGGACTAAAAGATCAACAATAAGAATAAAACATAATGATTTATAGTATTCAAACAAAAATTATTAACAAGTGAAATATGTTTTTTCCAAAAATTGTAAAAGAAATAAGTTTGAGTCGTTCCACGCATCGTTGTATACATTGGAAACAAGAACAGGTTGAAGAGGTCGTATGAATAATTAAATATAGTTTCGGTAATTTCTATTTAAATATTCATGAGGAAAAGTGATGTCGGGTCAGTGACTGTATATGACAAAGAAATATACAGTCAACGCATTTTGACTGCTCAAATAGAACGAGTGCAGTATAAAAATCAGTACAACTCTATAATAACGGTATAAAAGATAATAAAACATAAGTATATGAAAAACACCAATAAAATAAAACAGTATCATAGAAAGGACACAATAACTTAAAACAAGACCAAAGTACATATGTACTTATCCTGTCTAAATGAATAAATTGTCCAAATTGTAAAAAGGTATTGTTCTAGAATAAGATTTCAGTCTGTTAAGGAAGATTTCTGCTCTCTTTCAAAATAACAAGCTCTGAAAAAGATTGTTAAAAATATAAATAAAGGACCTCAAAAAGCGGAAAACAGGAACTTTTCGTGTCTTTGTAAATTTTTTTTTAGATATAAGCAATTGAAAATTTGTCGGGAAATGGTTCTCTCTAGATTTTTCATACAGCCGTTGCATGAGATGCAGTAAGAAAGAAAATTAAATATACATATAGCCGGTAAGCACAGGTCACCGTTGGGTCCAACAATTCACAGTTAAGTCTTGGTCCGGTTTGATAAATGACACCTCTTTGCCTGAACATGAGAAGAGATAGCCCAGTTGATACGATATTTCAGAGCTTGCATGTCCTTTTATGATTTCCTTGATAGAGGGTTACTGATCACAAGCTTAAAAGAGGGACGAAAGATACCAGACGGACATTCAAACTCATAGATCGAAAACAAACTGACAACGCCATGGCCAAAATAAAAAGATAAACAGACAAATAATAGTACAGATGACACAACATAGAAAACTAAAGTCTAAGCAACACGAACCCCACCAAAAACTGGGGGTGATCTCAGGTGCTCCGGAAGGGTAAGCAGATCCTGCTCCACATGTGGCACCCGTCGTCTTGCTCATGTTATTACAAAGCCGGTAAATAGTCTAATTCGGTAGGTCACATTTGTGAAAAGGGAACGGGATTGTAGTTACGACATAAGGAACATATCCGATATCATCTGTGAAACGGAAGGGAGCTATTAAAGCAAGATTTACAAGTGGCGAAGATCATCCCTTCGAAAATTTTACGGACACCATCTCGAGTTGGTTGACCGTTATGGAGTATCTGTTTCTTAGTTGACGTCTGATAATTTACACTTTTCGTAACCACAACCCCGTCCTATTTTCCTGGAATGTAACATATCGATTTATACTGATCACCGGGTTTGTACTTAAACGAGAGCCATCTGTGTAGCATGATCTGCTTGCCCATCCGAAACACCTAACTTTACCCTGGTGGTTGTTCAGACTTTAGTTTTCTATGTTGTATTTTGTGTACTGTTGTTTGTCTTTTAGTCTTATTTTCTATTTCTGAAAGGCATTGTCAGTTTGTTTTCGACTTATGAGTTTAAATATCCCTTTTGCTATCTTTCGCCTCTCTTTGTCATACGACAACACAAAATATCATTCGGAAAAAATTAAATTGATAACGATATGAGTTTCATAGTGATGTGTTTCTTTTCTAACGTGCATTTAGGGTAGAACTGTTCTAGAAAACTGTTGGCAAAGCTTTTAGGAATTGGGGCCTCAATGCTCTTCAACATCGTACTTTTTTTGGCATTTTTAACTTTTTTTGATTTAAGCGTCTCTAATTAGTCTTTTTTTAGACGAAACGCGCGTCTGGCGTACACAATTTCAATCCTGGTATCTATGATGAGTTTATTTAGAACGTCCAATGACAGGTTACTCTGGTAGTTCTGAAGAGTGGTTAGAACTTATTCAATCTTTGGCTATTGCTGTCCGATCTTCAATTGTGGAATTTTTTATAGTTGACAGCAAACTTGAACCCAAATTAGAATGATATCAAGCTTAATTGATTTGCTTAAGATGCTGTTGATTGTGTACTTCCTACACAAATATGCATATAAACCTCAGGTATTTATAAAGAGTTTAATGTGAATTAACCAATCAATGTACAATTGATATTTGTGTTATCAGGAGGTAATGATAGTAAGCATTATTGTAAAGCAACACAATATTTCCAACAAAGCGTAATTAAATATCAGCATGTAAAATTCTGATATTGAACTAATCCAAATATAGCTTCCAATTGAAGACTATATATTTTGTTTTTCGAGTATTTATTGATAAAGAAGACAATACTATAATAACACACTGTAAAATGATACACCATGTAATTCAATGTCAGCAAAAAACCTAGGATTCAAATCGACCGAACTAATAAAAATGACGGTATGGCTGTCAACTATAAATGATACATATCTTATTTCCTAAAAGAATTTACCGTAAAAAATGTCCAAAAGTAAAACACTAAGGATAATAAACTGTAGGCTTTGTATCAAAACAATCCCTCCTCATACAAGTATACGATGTTTACTAATATTTATAATGATACAACATACAAACAAAGAAACCAAAACGACAGCATATGTATCAAGACAGATATATGTTTGATTCTAGTTTTTTTGTATTGGAATAGAAAAATGAATATAGGTATAAGTTTATCTACCAATAAAAGTAATGGACTCAAAGTTTTTAAGGAAAATAATTTGTATCTTATTTACCACTTCTTGCGCTGAGTTTGACATATGATACAGTCATTTGTCTATTGTTGAAAAAAGTATTAATAAAAGTACCGAACTCCAATCCGTGATATCGACAAAATGTGATGAACAACCCAAATAAACATTATTGGCTAACGTGACAATAATTGGGATTCAACAGCCAAAATTTTGTAAACATGCATCGCAGACATACAACACATCTGGCGTACAATTCAAACAAACATACAAATGTATCTTACAATTACTCCCCAAAATAGTCATAATAGCATGCCTAGTAGATAACATATTTTACTGCTGTTTGTTTGTCTATTTTTGTCGGATTTTAATGACTGACGAGGTCTGTTGTACTGTCCAATATATTTGTTAATTCCTGTTATTCTTTTTGAATTGTGTATTTTAGAAAAAGGTTCGTCATCATATGAAGAAGCATGTCATCGGAGAACACCATACCTACAGTGATAATACGCGTATGTGGCACGAATAAGTAAAACACGAAATCCGGTTTATTAGGTTACAGTTTTTTTAATTTCAAACAAATGTAATTAGTTTACATGTATTAACCAATTTGTTTTACCAGGAAAGATACCCGGTAAATAGGTGAAGAATGCACATTAAATATGTTTGAATGCAGAAAGTTTAACTATTTGGTGTTTTATTATTAAAATAAATCAAATGGAAATTCCAATCCCATTGTAAACTGTGTGTGGGTGAAATATGTTATAAGTTTATTCATGACCCGTAATTTAATCTACGGTACGGTATCTCAGGTTTTCATTCTGGACGGCTTTGCCATTTAAATTATTTTCTATTAATTATATTATTTAAGAACTGTCAGCCGGATATATATTTTATCACATTTATTTACCTGGAGGTAAGGTAAAGTACCATGAACATGTTGTTGATACAAATCGTGCTTCCTTGCTGTATTTTGTTTGAATACGTCACAGGTAAAGTAAATTAACATTAATTCCTAACACGTACACATGTATCCTTGTATATATTTACTATGTAAGAAATAAGCTAAAACTTCCCGTTTTAACTGCAAAACTATATTAATGAAAAGTTGTGCAATGATTTAGTAATATTATTCCTCACTCTAGGCATATTTTTTTAAAGAATCAAACTTACGATTAAAATTCAGTTGGTCAGGAGATACTCTACTGTCTTTCAATTTCTTTTCTGTGGTATTGGTATTCTGAACATTTTTTCAAACAATATTGTCACTAATCAATCATGCTTCTAATTCATACACAGGTTGAGGCAGAAACTCTAAGGGACCAAGATTACAAGTTTACACGGCTTCAAATGATGAGGTAGAAATGCCAGACAATAATAGACTTAAATGCACAGAAAATGAGACGCAAACCATCGCATGTCGGAACGGAGGAACATGTTTCGCTTCGTACATAGACTATAGATTTGTTCGCTGTGCGTAAGTGAATAAAAGTACAGACCCCAAAATCCAGAATTCACTTGTCTGATTTATGTACCTAGTGTCATACTATATTGGATACGATTCTGCTTAATGATACACTATACAACTAAAATGTCAACAGTGTACATGTGTTTAAGAATTGACCCTTTTAGAAAAATAGAACAGTTATCATACCTATGTTTTTGAAAAATATGATTGTAAAAGTAAAAATGCAGTAGTCAGGTAGTTTAGCCAAAACGAACGAGTAAATCAATCGTTCATTTAGATATGATTAATTGAGTTTTGAACATATATCAATTTTACCACATGTTGGCCCTTAAGGCTAAATGTTTATCACGAGCGATAGCGTGCAATTCTTTTAGATCGAAGCGCTCTAGGTGAAGGCAAGTATTTGTTGTTTCCGTAATTGTACACACTATTAATATTGACGTTAAAAGACGAAGAAAACTGAGGTAGTAACATACATAAACGATTTACAATAACATAAGACAGGTTATGGTGAAGTTAAATGATTAAGAAAATGTTATCATTGTGTGTTTTCTGTCGGAAAAGGAAATCTTTGTTACATTCCAGTGGCATTATCAAATGCAGGCTGTTGGATGTGTATCACTTACATCAAGTATTCATACCTATATCGCTCTTCTTTGTATAAATACTTAAAATATACTGAACAAATATAATAAATCTTAATTGTATTTAAGAAAATTCGCATCATCGAAGGTTTAATAACGTCAAGTAAGAATTAACTTTTTATTATTCAGTTGTTTGTTTTGCTTTACAAATGAATATTATTGATGTAAAATTTGTCCCTCAAAGCTTCTAAAAAAGAAGAAAAATAGTAACCATATTTTAATAGTAATGTGAAATTAAGGAGATTTGGTTTGATTGCCAATGAAACAACTATCCACCAAAGTTCAAATGAAGAGAATTTAAGCAATTATAGGCAACCGTAAGGCCTTCAACAATGGGAAAAACCCATACCGTATATATAGTCGGCTATAAAAGGCCCCGACATGAAAAATATGAGACAATTCAATTGAGAAAACTAACGGCCTAATTTATAACAAAACTATTTGCGAAAAACAAAACTGGCAGACATGCACCAACGACAACCACTGAACTACAGGCTCCTGACTTGGGACAGCCACATACAGAATGTGGCGGGAATAAACTATTTTGCTGGCTCAAATCCTCCCCCTAACTAGGGACAGTGATTTAACAGTATAACATAAGAACAAACTCTAAAAATGAGTTGAAAAGGGCTGAACTCATCAGATCGATACAAAGCATAAAACATCTAACGAAAATACAGACCAGACGTGGCAGCATATCTATACACCCCACAAAAAAAATTAATAAAACACTAAGTAAAGACCTGAGAGTACTCGCAGTTACTGACAGCTAGTTCAAAGCTTATAACAACTAAACAAAATTTTCTACATCTAAGACTAAAATATCAATCAGTTCACATCCAACATCCAATGGATTTAGTGTATACCGTCATTAACAGTTAGGGAAAACATGACTTTGTGCAATGCCAAAATATAGGTATCGACAGATTGTAGTACCGTGAATGTGCATAAGGGTATAACAATAATATTTAGTATGGTTTTAATTTACTGATAAAACAATGAATATTTATACCAATAAAAACAATATTCAATGATCTAATTACAGTGTTGAACTGGTAACCTTTTAAATTAAGTTAATTTAAAGGATTTATAAGTTTATCCGGATCGTATCTAAATTTCCGGGCTCGGTAAACAACATTCCGTAGAAATTAGGATGTGCTATTCCGTTTGAAATAAGTTTTCTACAGGTACAACCAAACTTGCAAAGAAAATCTTTGCATCTATGGAAAAATTTAGTAAAGGTTTTAAGAAATCTGTGGTAACGAAATCCCTGACTTAATAATTGACCAGTAATACATGGATCACGCTCATTGAAAACCAAAACGTCACTACAGATACGGCCATAGCGAACGAGTTATGATATATAAATACCGTAAGACGGTGCCAAAGGAACATCACCGTTCAAAAAAGGAAAATTAACAATAGGGAAAGAAAGATCGTCCCTTTTGTCGTAAATTTTGTGTAGAGTTTCTTGTGTAAAACTGGAAAATTTTAATATAGAAAAGGACAGTTATTGCTGTTAAAATTTGATTTAATCTAAAGTAAGTTCCTTTGGGTAAATTTTGGCAGTATATTTAGAGAATTCTAGATTATTTAACGAAAAGGTATCATCAAGATATCGGTAAGTGTTGTTGAATTTACCAGTTAAATCAAATTTAGACGGGTCTTAACTGAGTTTGGCCATAAACTGTGATTCATAACAGTACAGGAACAAGTTTGCTATTAAAGTGGCACAATTGGTGTCAATAGGAATACCTACAACATGTCAATAAAATTTTATTGCCGAAATGTAATTAATGTTGTCGAGGAGAAAATTTACAGCTTTATTCATGTCATCACACCTCCAGTGAGTATATCTAGCATATTTACCTTTCTCATTAGATTAAAAGGCTTTATCTGAGTTGCAGCAAATAAATTTGCAAACAGATTCATCAAACGACTATTTAATAAAATAGGAAAACTTTCGTTTGATCAGATTGTGTGGAAGTGTAGTATAAAGAGTGGAAAAGTCAAAACTGTCGACTGAATCAAAAGAACTATCAAAAGCACGTAATTTATCTAAAACGTCCATAGAGATTTTTTACACTCTAAAAATTGTTAATTCCACTATTTTCATATGTTTTATAACAAAAGTTAATGATAAGTTCTTTGATAATAGTTAAGGAACTTGTTAAAAGCACTGACAGATTAGCAGTAGCTCACTTTAAAGTACCTTTCTTTTTAAACTTTTTCTTATGCATTAAAAAATGAGCAAATGTAAATTTCAGAGATCAAATAGCATAAATAAGATGAAAGTTTTATTACCTCTTTAACCAGTTTCCGCAATCTAAATATCTTTATCACAGGCAGTAGAACACACAGTAAGTAATCCCACACCCCAACCCTGACGACAATTTTATGTTCTTTTGAAAATGTTAAAAAAATGCAAATTATCTTTTTTTATTTCTAAATATATATTTATGAATGGAATTCAGGAGAAAATTATTTAATTAAAATGTATAATGAAACATATACAATGGGGTTTTTATGAATAAATTTCAGTCTGGTTCCGAAATCAAGCGACTTGATAATAAGGAGTTTCTTGGTAAAAAAAATCAAGGATCCGGAAAGTTTAAATATTAATTTCCCATATTTAATTACTTGACTTAACTAACTTCAATTTAATATGAAAAATATGATACATTGTACCTTGTCAATTTCTGTTTTTCCAATCTTTCGCATAAGGTCGTCTATACTTAATAACTTCACTCATAATAAAACCAATTTTGTAGAAAAAAAATCATTGTTTTCAAGTCTTTCATGTCATTTTAGGGGTAAAATATATCGAATAAGTTTACTTGAACAATTGAGTCAACTTTGTCGACAAGATGAATCAGTAATGTCAATTTTGACCAAAAAACACTGTTTGTCAAGATTGGGTATTATAAATGCATTTTTTAAAAATATAAATAGACCAAACAATGAAACATTCAATTTCGTATCGTATAGAACATAATATAATGTAAACCTACATTCAATATGAACTTGATTTTTCATTTCAGATGTTCAAAAAAATACATTGGTGAACGGTGTGAAATGATAGATATTAATATAATTTTTAAAGGTAAGTGTCTTAAATATTAATGTTGTATACATAGGGATCAACCGTTCTACGAATGTATTTCGGCGAACACTCAGAAAATAAAAGAAATCCTCACTGAGTATTCTAAAATTATGTTTGGTATACATTCTACGTAACACTTGTTTCATTAAGTATTATACAGATTGTAACCTTACGGAATATCATTACATTGAAACGTCGTGCAGACGTTATTTCAATGGAATTCACACAATCGATTCAAGCACGTTTAATCTATGTCTATTATCAGCTCATTTGATATCTTAACTGTTTTAACAAATATTTCACAGGAGGACAAGAAAAGGAGGAAACAGCAAAAGCAGGCCTATGGTTGATTGGGTTGATTGCTGGTAGTGTTACATTTGGCTCAGTCATTGTGTTTGTCTTAACAGTATTGATAATTCTTCATATCCACCAAAGAATATGTAAATATTCGAAACCAGAGTAATGAGGCGAAAGGATAAAATATAATAAAATTAAAAGTTCATCCGGTCGGCATTCAATCAAAAGAGAAGCTGTAAAAACGAGGGGCAAATAAAGTTTTTTTTTTTTAATTTTACAATTCACTACATAAAAATAAACCTTTTTGGACCCAAATTATCTAGTTTGCATAATAAATATCATGCAACACAAGTAAGGAGTACTGGGGTAAAGGATAAAACACATACGGTGCACTTTCAGTGATTCATATTTCAATCAAGCAAGGTAACCACTATTTACAATGACATTGGCAGATAGTATTAAGTAAATATCATCCAAAATATTGAATACATAATTCACTTTCGTTTTAAATAAAGTAAGAAAAATTAAAGAAGTAAGAAAATACGAAGAGGTTATTACAAATGTAAGTCGAAGAAAGACACGTAACATCACTAAGGAAATATGACAAACAAGAGTTAACAAAATAATCTATACGTCAATACGTAGTGCAACACTAACTCTTTCAAAAACGGGGTTGAACTGAGGTGATCCAGAAGATTTAGCAGTTTCTGTTTCAATCGTGACAACTATTGAGTTACCCTCACCACAATTAATGAACAGTCATTACTCGTTTTACAGCAATATATAATAATGAACAAGGGAGGACCTATAGTCTTAGACAGGATCACTTTCATAAATAATCGATGCAATCTCTTAAAGTGTATAGCCTTTATAAAAGAGAGGCGGAACATACCAAATGGTCGTTCAAACTCGATTACAAACTGACAACACCAAGGCAAAAAACGAAAAGCAACCAAACGACATAAGTATACAAAATACAACAAAAAACTAAAGACTGAGCCGCAAAATTCTACCAAAAAACGAGGCTGATCTTAGGGCTTACGGTCATAAAACTTTCGAGTACGAACATTCACTAATGTCGTATATGATAAAAGGAGACAAGAATTGTGCAACCTAACATGGAAAATATCCATTGATATTCAATAACAAATGCAGTCTGGATCAAGACATGATGACACTGATAAGGTATCAAAGAATGACTTCAACTTTACCATTCAAAACTCTTGGTCAAAACGTTTTCATGTACTGTAGGCAGCCAACTTCTATGAAGGAAACTTTGATAAAAAAGAAAAGCCGTATTATATTGTTTCAAGTGGGTGATATATGCAGATGATGTTGAAATGTTTCCATAGAAATTCACAGTAAAGAAAATTAATTTCATGTCTTGATTTTACAGTTTAGTGCACAACCGGCTCTCACTTTCCAGATGTAAGGGAAAATATAAAGCAGACCTTATTATATCTGCAACATCCCTTATTTTAGATTTGAAAAAATGATGACCAAGTATGGTCACCGAACTTTGAAATTTCATTTAGAGGAAATCAAATATAAAACGGTTCTAAAGGTGAAGAAACTGCAAGCTTGTTTTTTTTTAATTATTAAATAGCCTTTCATAAGCCAGCCTCACATTAAAATAACAGACTGGCATGAAGTATGCCTCATTTAAAATAACGAAACAGCTTCAAGAGAAAGGGAGCACAGTTTGTTCCTATAGAAATGTTGATGATTGTCTTTTGAACACCATTTCATACAAACGAATCAATAAATAAGAAAAGCATGCGTTATCACTAGTTAATTGGTCATACTAGGTTAACGAATGAATTTGATCACTGCTTTACTATATACTGAGAAATTTCAATTTTCTAATCGTGTAAAGAAAATAAATAGATGTTGATATTCCAATAGTGAAAACATGTTTGAAATAGCTGCTTACACTCCAGGTGATACTACAAATCTGTATATATTATAAACTTTATCATAGTTTTATTAAAAATCTGACTTCTAATGGGTATATTTCCGTTTGGACAATTTCATTAAAAATATTCATTATGAAACAATATTCAATATGATTTATTCCGTTAGGAATAAATATTATACATTCCGTAATATTTCTTCCATTTGAAACAATGAAAGGGGCAAGGGGATTGCAGAATGGAAATGAGTCCAATTGTAAGGAGAAAAGAGGATGAAAGAAACGATTCCCCTGCCCTCCCTTATAAATTAATGCAACATATACTTGGTATTCTTAATTTTTTCTATAAAAAATCAATAGCTACGGAACTTTAAACGGATAGAGCGTTATTCGCGATCGAGTTCAGAACTTATAGACGGGTTGCGAATAATAGAAAACCATCATGTCATGTGGGCAGATTGAGGTCCATGTGATCGCCATGAACCCTCATTAGACCATGCGAATAATTTAATGTATAAACAAATCGGGAATTTATCTGCATGGTTTGTGTCTTTTCACCCAATCTGTTATTGCAAACAGGAAATAAATTTTAGTTTGATCTTTGCTATCATCCATATATTTTATCAAATTGGGACTGTTTCAAGGACTTACTTCACATGTATGTTTATCCAGTTTTAACATGAAACAGGCTACATTGTTGTTTCAGAGAAGACTTGGGAATGTCTGCTGCAGATTTTACAGAGGTTATCGGTATTTCTTATTTGTCTCTAGTTTCAGTGTGGATTTGTCCATTGCATTTGTTTTTCCCTCTTTGTCTTTGTCTCATAATTTTCCTTCTTCCTGACTGACGATTTGTTTTTTTTAATTTTTATCTGAAACGTTTAACACGAAAGGGCTTACAGGAACGGTCATAATGTTTTTTTGTATGCCTATAACTTTATATTAACTTAAAAAAAAATTGACCAACATAAACACCATCAAAAACTAAAGACTGAGCAACATAAACACCATCAAAAACTTAAGACTGACCAACATAAACACCATCAAAAACTAAAGGTTGACCAACATAAACACCATCAAAAACTATATATAATCTTTATGAAAAAAATAAAAACGTAGGTCTTAACCACGAACAGCATAAGACAATAAAAGAAAAAATAATTTTAAATATCGGAGTGCCGAGTATATGTGAACATGCTATTAGGCGCTTGAAAACTTTCAAAATCATTGAAAGCCTATGGAGACATCCGAGAAAATGAAATCAATTAGACTGAAGTGCTCTGTGCGGATTTAGCCAAGAATTATAATAAAGAAAAATCAAGATGGCTTACTATGTAAATTTTATCAATCTAGAAGTGCATACAGTCTTAATTACCCAACCCCAATCCCCCGCATTAACGGACACCTTTCTCGTCCTATTTTCACAATCAATGATACCAGAAAATGAGTATCTCTAAGAGGACAAACCATTTGATTATTGAGAATGAATATTCTTCAACACAAAACGCAAGAAACAGTTGTGTGCAATAGTGAAAATAAATAAGCATGCATAGCAGATGATAATGAATAGTCAATCCACAAAAATCCTCCTGCCCCCTCCAAAGAATATTGATGTTCGCCCCTAGGACGTTCCAAATAAAAAAAAAATACGGTAAATGTAGGATGGCTGGTCAACATCACGCATGTGATTTAAATGTTACCGGCTTGAATCGATAATTATTGTTTTGACACAGTTCCCGCATTTAATGTGTCAACCTCAGCGTTTAGTAACACGTCTAATAATTGATTAAAATGATGGGTATTTTGCTTGATCATTTTGTAAAAGTTCTTTTCGTGACGACTTAGCCATGCATAGCGTATAGCTATATACAGATTAAACCTCGACTAATTTCAAGTTGTCAACTGTCGAGTCTGATCTTAATGTAAAAGTCAAACTTATTCAAAAACAGTTAAAATATTGAAAAAAAAACCATAACGTGTTGAATACAACCATAGCTGGACCGCAAGGTTTGATAAGAGCAAAAGATTTCGCGGAACATTTGTACAAACTACTCATCTTATATTTATTTACATTGCATGTTTTTTTTTTAGTATCTTTTGTAATTCTAAAGACTGAGATGAAAAGGGATCGGGTTAAGGTCTCAGGAAACACAGGTCTATTGTAGAATACCATAGGTTGCATTTTTGTGTCGTTGGAATGCTGTGTCATTGACTCACGTCGGACATCTCTTCTTATTTCTTTTTGGTTAAGTTTGGAAAATTTACCAAAACGAAATATAAATAAGAAAAGACAACTAAGCAAAAAAACAAATAACAAACAAAAAACAAAAAACAAAACACAAAACAAAATATAGGGAAGAATACATCAAAGCCAAAAGACAAAAATGAAACGATATACAAAATAACAATAAAAACAGACACTATACAGAATCTTAAGATTTTATATATGTACAAGTAAGAAATCCAGCAAAACACCGGGGGTTATTTAATGCGTTCAGAAATTTTATGCAGGTTTTTTCACCACTTGTGCTTCGCAAAAAAAAAAGTTGCTGATAATTCATAGATGAAAAGAGGTGGAAGGAATTGTTGCTATGACATACGGGACATTTATTCCATAAATACAAACCAAGTCATGATGTTGTCAGTAAAATGAATTTCTTCAACTGTACGGTGTAGAACCATAAGACCATGATGTTGTCAGTAAAATGAAGTTCTTCAACTGTACGGTGTAGAACCATAAGGGGACGTTCCCAGTCATTGGATTTGCCTGTAGACTGTGGAAAGTTAAACATACTTTGCTTTAAACGTTGGATACACAAGTTAAACTCAACCAATTTAAAATACTCCAGTCAATCTTGTTCAAACAAAAGAGTGACGGACGGTTAGAAAAATATTTCTGTTATCATGCCAAGTGTTAAAAGAGAGGCGAGAGATACCAGAGTGACATTTAAACTCATAACACAACATAGAAAACTAAAGACTAAGCAACACGAACCCCACCAAAAACTGGGTGTGATCTCAGGTGCTCCGCAAGGGTAAGCAGATCCTGCTCCACATGTGTCACCCGTCGTGTTGCTCATGTTATTACAAAACCGGTAATAAGTCTAATTCGGTAGGTCACATTCGTGAAGTCGAAAATAAACTGTCAACGCGCCATGGTTAAAAAAGAAAAAAACCAACAGACAAACAAAAGTACACAAAACGCAACATAGAAAACTACTGAAGACTAAGCGACACGAACCCCACCAAAAACTTTGGGTGATCTCAGGTGCTCCGGAAAATAGTCCTATAATATAAGACTTCATAGGTTCATATCGCTTGCATTCAACGTTTTTTATTGGATATTTTTTTTACTATCAAATGTTGAACCACGGAGTCTTATCGGAAGTAGCTTTTTTCTCGTAGCAAGTTCCCAACGAATTTTTGTGGGAACTTTGAA